AGTACAACACCAATACCATTGCCAAGTGTGTTGGAAGCCCCATCAAAGAACAAGGTCCATCGGGATCCTTGTTCAGGTCCGTCATATGGCCTGAATTTTTCACAGCTGTTTACCATCATGATGTCTTCATTTGGGAATTCGAACTTCATGGACTGGTAGTCTTCCACAGCTTGGTGAGCAAGGTGATCAGATAGTACACTGCCCTTTATAGCTTTCTGGGTAGTATATTGTATGTCATATTCTATCAAGATCATCTGCTATTTCGCTATTCTCCCAGAGAGAGCAGGCTTCTCGAAGATGTATTTTATCGGATCCATTTTAGATATCAACAAGGTAGTATGAGTCAGCATGTACTGTCTTAGCCGACGAGCAGCCCATGCTAGAGTGCAACAAGTTTTCTCGAGCAGTGAATATCTTGTTTCACAGTCGGTAAACTTTTTGCTCAGGTAATAAATAGCGTGCTCTTTTCGGCCAGACTCGTCATGCTGCCCCAGCACACACCCCATTGAATTTTCTAAAACAGTTAGATACATGATCAATGGTCTTCCCTCGACTAGTGGCATTAAAACAGGAGGCTCTTGCAGGTATTCTTTGATTTTGTCGAAAGCAGTTTGGCATTCATCGTTCCATTTGACTACTTGATCTTTCTTCAATAGTTTGAAGATTGGCTCACAAGTAGCTGTCAGGTGAGAAATGAATTTAGCAATTTAGTTTAAACGTCCCAAGAATCCTCTGACTTCCTTCTCAGTACGAGGAGAAGACATCTCTTGTATCGCTTTTACCTTGGCAGGATCTACTTCAATACCCTTGTTGTTGACGACAAATCCTAGGAGTTTACCAGACCTTACTCCAAACATGCATTTATTTGGGTTCAACCTCAACTTGTACTTCTTTAGCCTCTCAAACAGTTTATGTAAATGATCAAGACGCTCTTCTTCTGTTTGAGATTTGACTATCATGTCATCCATATAGACCTCTATTTCGTGATGTATCATGTCGTGAAATAAAGCTACCATGGCACGCTGATAGGTTGCCCCAACATTCTTTAGCCCGAATGGCATCACCTTGTAGCAGAATATGCCCCACTGTGTAACAAATGTTGTTTTCTCCATGTCCTCAGGCGCCATTTTGATTTGGTTGTAGTATGAGAAATCGTCCATGAAGGAAAACACTTTGTGTTATGCCGTATTGCCAACTAGGATGTCAATATGGGGAAGTGGGAAATCATCCTTAGGGCTTGCCCTATTCAAATCTCTGTAGTCCACGCACATTCGTACCTTGCCGTCTTTCTTGGGCACATGCACAACATTGGCAACCCATTGCAGATAGGAGGTGACGACCAAGAATCTAGCGTTAAATTATTTCATAACTTTTGCTTTAATCTTCTCTGACATATCTGGTCACATTCGACGGATCTTTTGTTTTACTGGTGGACAATCCTCTTTTGTAGGCGTCATGTACCACAATATCTGCATCAAGTCCCGACATGTCTTTATACGACCAGGCAAAGACCTCAACATACTCGTGTAGCAGCTGAATCAGACGCTCCTTGACACTCGGTTCCAGATTGGCACCCATCTTGACCTCTCTTTTATCTTTTTCGGTACCCAGGTTGATTGTATCCACTGGTTCCTCGTGGGGTTGAATGGTTCTCTCTTCTTGCAGTAGTAATCTGGCAAGTTCCCCTGGTACTTCACAATCTTCCTCACCTTCGTCTTCGGCTTGGCAGATTATATTTTCAAAGTCACAAAAAGACATAGCAAAACCGTTATCCATGGGATCCCGAATGGATGTAGACCTGCATTGTGAGTGTGAGTGTGAGTGTGTGTAAGGGTATAACTATCTTTGAAAGAAAGGAAAATGTAAAAATAAAAAACAATGAGCACAAAGTTTGTATGCAAAACGTCCATGATTCATTGATGTCATATGGAAATGAGATAATAACCCTTACAAATGGACCATTGTGCCTTGGGTAAGACACAAGGTTTTAAGAGTTTGAATTGTTTTAATATTACAGATCCAACAAAATGTAAAGACAAATTACTGTGGGATAAAAGTGATCGGGAAAAAATCTCTAGCCTCCTAGTTGCTGAGCCCTCCATTGACAGTTGGGAAGATCCAATCCTCCAGGTTGTAACCATCTTCATCATCCTCTATCGCGTTGGCTTCACGGTTGCTGATCTTCAGGGGTGGTCCTCCAGCACGAGCGCGACGTACAACCTTCTGAGCACCTAAAGTGAAACCTAGGCCAAACTTGTCAGAGTTGTATGGGATATTTGGGAGTTTTCCCCAGATAGTGCATCCTCCTTCTTCTATCACTGCCTTTGCATCCTTCAAAGATGACATCCTGAGTGGAGGCCTTGTGATCTTGGGAACAACCTTAGTCACTGCCACATCTTGCAGGACCTCTTCAAAGTGTTGGAATAGAGTTTCAATAAATTCACCATCTAATTCCACATATCTGAAATAACTGAGATGGCTGATCATATACTCTTCCTCTCCATGAACGGTGATAATCTTTACTTGAATCAGATACTTCAGCATTTGGTGCAACATAGAAGTGACAGCGCCAACATTGTGAATCCATGGTTGGCCTAGCAAGCAGGAGTATGAGGGACGAATATCCATTACATAAAAAGTTGAATCAAATGTTTGGGCTCCAACCTTTATGGGGATATCCACTTCCCCATGTACCATCCTTTTCGAGCCATCAAAATCCCTTACTACTATGTTACTTGGCTTCAATGTCAATCCCTCACAGTCCAGCCTATCAAGAGCTTTTTTAGGCAATACATTCAGAGATGAGCCAGTGTCCACCAAAACATGAGCCAGGGTTGTGCCCTTACATTCAACTGAGACGTGCAATGCCTCATTATGTTTCCTTCCTCTTAGCGTTAAATCAGCATCCGAAAAACCTAGACCATTATCCGCAGTCAAGATGGCTACGCAGTCTTGGAACTGATCGACATATGTCTCTTGGGGTACATGGGCAGTTTTTAGGAATTTTACCAAGGCTTTTGCATGTGCCTTGAAACATAGTAGTAAAGCCATCATGAAAATTTTAGATGGAGTTTGCCCCAATTTTTTAACTACTTCGTAGTCGCTTCTTTTTATGATCTTCAGAATTTCCTCCATCTCTTTCCGGGAGGTCTCAGGGATAGCCAATGATTGTGCCTTCGTCTGGACAGGCTCAATCATAATGCTTTTACCTCGGGTCTCGGTTGACTTGGCAGCAAGAATGTCAGTAGGAGTAATAACAGGGGTTGTAACAACTTTGTTAGTTGGAGTATTGGTTAAGATGATTGTAGGACCGTAAATAGCCTTCGGAGGAGCAACAAAAACAAGAATGATTACGAGTCCAAAAACTGCTTTTGGGAGAGCAATTTCTTGAGAGAATATCCTTCCGCTTCGGGTAATCTTGCTAGTCCCCTCAATATTACTGATATCAGAGTTAACTTTCTCAGAACTTGAGTCTTCGGCAGCTGGCCAATCTTGCTTGACACCGTGGTAGTAGACATCCCCTCCATAATTCCATGGTATGGTTTTGTCTGACAAATACGGGACTGGTCCAAGCATTGTAATTATCAAAGGATTTGCTTTCAGAACTGATGTAATTCTAACGGGTCTTTTGGTGGAGACCCCGAAAGAATTGACGGAAATGGTAATGATAGAAACATCTTTAAAAGGAACAGGTGGAACACAAGTTTTTTCAAACAAAATTTATTTGTTATCTATTGGCGGAAATGGTAATGGTAGAAAGTGTTTGAAATTCTGAAAGAATTCTGAATGTAGTTTGATAGGACTTGGATGAACATAGGTTTGGATTTTGAATGAACTTTGTAACCTAGACGCCTTTGCCTTGTGATCTATGCCTTATCTTTCAAGAAATCCACATGACCAATCTTAACATGTTTGCATCTTAGAAACATTGATCCAATTAATTAACTTAAACACATTTAAAAACTCGAATGAGTACTTTCACATAATGAGTACAAATCAATTCTCACTTCTTAAAGAAACCACAATTTCAAACCTTAAGTCCATATTAACTTGCGTTACAAGCAACAATTAATTAAAATGATGATGATGTTTAGAATCCATAAATCGTATCTTGTAACACAACGACTATGCCTTGAGGAATCCCTTAAAAATGAACATGGAACATGAGACACGGAGAAATAATGACCTAGATCGACTTAACATGTAAATCTAATGAACCCCATTTGATGGGTTATTATATTTAAACGCCACATATGAGAACCCTTGAGCAAAGATGATTTGTATGATGAAAAGAAGATAAAGCTTCACGAACTTTGGTCTCAACAGGTGTCATACATTCAAAAGTCAAAACCCTAGTACAAAACCAAAGGATAGGAGAAATACGATTCTCTTTTGAAACACTTGTAAACACGAACCCTTGATGAAACAAAGAAATCAATTGACATGTCTTGAGACCTGAGAAGCCTTTGATAGTCTTAAATAGTTAAAAACCCTAAGAGAATGTCTTAAAGAAAAAGGAAAACAAATTTTGAGATACAACAATTATTTTTACCAAATAAAATTAAATATAAATATATCTTTCATCTAAAATCCAAACATCAATTCATCACTTCTAAGAGAGTGCTATTTTCCTAAATGATTAATTAATCTTAGACCCTAAAAAAACAAAAATCAAACACAATAAATTGGGTTGATTGTCTTGCTTTTTGTTTTAAGAACTAAGAGTAGTGTGTATTTTGTAACATTTAGTTTAATGTCCAAAAAAAACAGGTGGGTTAGGGTGGCGTGCAAGAGGGGGCATCTATTCTTTTGCGTTTTGTGGTGTCCAAAAACAAATACCAAAACATCATTTAGTTTTTTCCTCAATCTAATCCAATAGAAATCCAATATAAGCATTCAATTCACCACCTCGGATTGAAGCGGTTTCATTACCGAAAGCATCGGACGCAAAATTACTTTAAACCCAGAAACTCTAAAATACCCTCCAACTTCTCTCTACTATGTTGCAGAGACCTAGACGCCGTTGCGAAGGCACAGCCATGGGCGCTATCGTTCTCGATCTCCGTCCCGGTCTCGGAATCGGTCCTTTCTCCCTCGGTAATCATCGTCAATTTCTTATTTCCGTTTTCTTCTTCCTTCGCTTTACCGATTCGATTACTATTTTTGTCGCTCTTAATTTCGCAATCGAATAATTATAATTATCCGATTTGTTTCCGATTTCACTTCATTTCATTAATTTGATTTCATTTTTTAATTGTATTAAGGTAATCGTTCTTCCTTAGCTCGTTTTTAAATTTAGGTCAAACAGATTGCGATTTTTTTTTTAGCGATGAGATTGTTACTTGATTACAATCATGTTGTAGTGTTATTGAGTATTTTGGAGTTTTTGTTTAGGTTAGTTGAGGTTTTTGGAAGAATTGACGTTTATGCTATTTGGCGTCTCGTTTATTGTTAATGTTTTGGTAATGTGTTTACTAGGTTGTTGTTTTTTTTTGGTGCTGTTTAGGGATGCCTATATGTGAAGCATTTGCTCAGATAGAGCAGCAACCTAACTTATATGATGTGGTGCACGTGAAGTATTTTGACGAGGTTTGTAAAGTATAGCTAGTAATACAGCTTAATTTCTTGTCGTTTTGTTGTCAATTCTCATGTGAATTTATGCAAAATACTGTTAGAAATCAGAGGTAACAGATTTGTGAAATATTGAAATTTTGAAATTCACTGCATTGAAGCACAAAAAATAGTGAAATATTGCACCACGCAGTATTTTCTTCAATTTTCTAGAAACTGACTTATTACTGTGGGTTGATTACTGCTGATGGTTTTGCATCTGGAGGCATTTGCTGTTCTATATATATATATATATATATATATATATATATAATTTTTTTTACTTTGAGGGATTTGTTTAGGTTTACCTTGGTTTGTTTATGCTTTGTGCATGTGCAGGAACCTCTGAAGTTGGATATTGTTATTAGCTTTCCTGATCATGGTTTTCATCTTCGTTTTGATCCTTGGTCACAGGTTTTTCTTTTCTTTTTTTTTCTCTGTTATGATTCCAACAATAGATTTATACTTGTTCAAATGCCTATTTGGGAAAAAAAAAAGATAGGATGATACGTTAAGTGAATTATTTACTTATTGTGTCTTTAATAGGAAGCATGAGTGCCAATTTATTTGATGGGAACAATAACTGTTGCTTTAGTTTAGTGTTTGGGTTGCACGGATGACTATCATAATTTGATTGAATAATTTGCTAGTATATTTAAGAATGTGCATATAAAGATACATGCGAAAATGAATGGGTTATGAATATTAAAGTTTTTTCTTTAGAAAACTTGTGTAGTTTGTATTTTTATTGAAGTTCACACAATCTATGTAGTTTTATTGGTTAGAGATATGTCGTAAATAGAGCTTATAAAGCTTAGGTAATTATCACCTTACATCTCAATTTTGTGGGGATGAGTTAAGCCCAAAACATAAGATGGTATTATGGTTTCCTATACCAATTATTGGGTTTCCCACATTATCCATGCAGCTGACCCAATAGCCTTGGACGTGATAAAGGTTATTGAGAAAAAATTGAGTCATGCGTAAGCTAGGGATATGTAATAGAACTTTCAAGTTTGGACAATCCTCACTCTACAAACTTATTTTTGTGGGGTTGAGTTAGATCTATAAGAAGAACCTGATACAAGAATAATAATAATGAAAACCGTGTAAGGATCTTGCGGTCCTATCCCCATGCAAATGTAAATTGTGGCAGTACGTAATTGTAGTTTAGAATTTAGCAATACTTTATTTCTCCAAGATCATTAGGGGCGGATCAGTTGAAAGTAAGGGGTTTTTCTACTCTAGGTCTGTGTATTTTCTTACAGTTGTTCTTTCCGATGAAGATGACATCATGCTTGAGAGCTTGTATTTTTAAAGCTGATATTGCTTAGTCAAAAAATTGTGCAACACTTCCAATCCCTTCTCTCTTCTTATTGATTTAAAGTTCCAACCCAGCTGTATCTAGCACTTCTTATGCTTTCAATCATTTTATGCTTTCACAGAGAGCTTGCTTTTTATTGGTTTCCATACCTAACAAGATGATTTTATTACTAACGGAACTTTCCAATACTATTTTAGAGACTACGGCTTATTGAAATATTTGATGTAAAGCGGCTTCAAATGCGCTATTCTACCTCTCTGATTGGGTGAGTCTCTGGCCCTACTTTGCTACAATCTTTACTTACACCCAATTGGATTTGCTTCTAACTTGTACACTTAATTAAAATTTTATTCTTCATGTGCAAAAAAGTAATTGAAAACGTATAGGTATTTGTCGAGAAGTGAAATAAAAGTTTTTCTGAATAAAATAAAATGTAGAAGCTCATTTCAAAATTTATGAAAGGCTATTGTTTTTAAAGACTCATAGTTACTATAATATTCTGTTATTTCTTTCTCTACCAATGATTGTCGAGAAGTTGATCCAAACTAACTGCTGTTATCAATTGCTATTCTTTTCAACTTATAGGGGACCAGCCACTCTAGCTACTTTTGTTGCCGTATATGCACTGTTTGGGCCCACATACCCTGGAATTTTCGACAAGGATAGATGCATCTACACGCTTTTTTACCCGGTAATGCATCAGTGTTGCTCTTTATTTTGGTTCTACTATTCCACACTTATGTATTCTGGTTTATATTTTTCTTGGTTTATATAGGGGCTTTCCTTTGCGTTTCCTATTCCGGGTCAGTTTACAGACTGCTGTCATGATGGGGGAGGTATATCATAATGAATTTGATAAGTTTCAACTTTTCTAGTTTTCATATGTTAACTTTTTTTCTTTTCATCATGAAAGTGGAATTGCCGTTGGAGTTTCCAGATGGGACAACCCCAGTTACATGTCGTGTTTCTATTTATGATAGTTCCTCTGGTAAGAAGGTCGGTGTGGGGTCCTTAATGGATAAGGCTTCTGCTCCTCCATTACCTACTGGCAGCATTTACATGGAAGAGGTTCACGTTAAGGTTTGGTTTCTTTAATCTCTAAAATCTGAAACAGTTTGCGTTTTTGTTTATTTAGTCTGACACCTTTAGTTGGCCGCATAAACTTTCTGTTTATTTTGGCAAGGTAGTTGTTATTCAGTGTCTAATTCAGTTCTTTCTATGTTATATAGCTTGGGGAAGAATTGTACTTCACTGTTGGCTCCCAGCACATTCCATTTGGTGCATCCCCACAGGTAAGCTTTACATTCAATTAAAATTGTTATGCTTTTATCAGATTATTTTCATGTGCTTTTACTTCTTCCACTTGATTTTTATTATTTATCTAAAACAAAGTGTATACCATGCTTCCTGTTTTATGCAGGATGTGTGGACTGAGCTAGGACGTCCCTGTGGTATTCATCAAAAGCAGGTATCATAAATTACCAATTCTTAAAAATGGAATACTTTTGTTTTGTAGGATTCTTGTGGACTTCAACTGATGCACTACAGAATCAAAACGAACTCTTTCTGCATCTTTATTCTTGATGTACCAGGAAAAAAAAAAGAATTTATAAAAATTTATACAGTTCCACTATTGAGATTTTTGGTGTACATTTAATAGTTTGTCAGCAAATATAAAATTTCAACATAACAACAAATGCCTTCTACCTTTTAATTTTAATGGATTGTTCGTGGACCTAGCCAACTTACAAGTTCTTTTTGGGTAGATATGTAAGTTCTAAACACTAGGAGTTGGGATGGATCTAAATAAAAATTATTAAATAGAATTTACTATCTAAAGAAAATCTGAAGCTCTCTGTTTAAATTTTTTGATATGTAAAAAAATCTGAAGCTAATTTTTACCTGTAATCTTGTTATTTACTGTCTTCATGGAGGAGTAATGATTTTCCCTAGATAGTTTTCAAATTATTTTGCAGAGGGAAAATCTGAATTCAACCTTGAGCATATAACAACATTGTAATATTAATACCCACTAAAGTGCTTTAATGAGTATTTTGTTTGTGTGGATTCTGACACATTGGTTCTGCAGGTAGATCAAATGGTTATACATTCTGCCTCTGATCTTCGGCCACGGACAACTATCTGTGGAGATTACTTTTATAATTATTTTACCCGTGGTCTGGACATCTTATTTGATGGGCAGGTTTACACCTTACCTCATTCTTTGTATCTATGCACAGTATGCACACAATCATAAAATTGGTAATCTCTGCTCCCTCTTGTCTTGTATTTCAGACTCACAAAATCAAAAAGTTTGTGTTACACACTAACTACCCCGGTCACGCCGATTTTAATTCATACATGAAGTGCAATTTTGTTATCTATTGCTCAGATGGTAAGCAGTCTATAGTTTACATGATTGGTCTCAATGTAACAGTTATATAATTTTTTGTTATGAAAGAAGTGAAAAAAATCATTTTCCCCCTTTCCAGCTGGTGGAGGATCTTTTCAGGATGTAAATAATAGCAAACAGAGGGTCATTACACCTAGCACAAAGTGGGAACAAGTGAAGGTGAGCTTTTACCCCTTCCAAATTGTATGGTTGCCTAATAACGATGCTTCATCTTGGTATCTGTTTGTAAAATGGATAAAGTAAAATGGAAAATTGTCAGTAGCTATGATGTGAGTTTCTGATAATTATAAATATAGGTTTTTATTTCATAATAGCATGTAATGGGTTCTTGTAGGAAATACTTGGGGATTGTGGGCGAGCTGCTATTCAAACACAAGGTTCTGCCAGTAACCCATTTGGTTCTACTCTTGTATATGGTTATCAAAATATTGCTTTTGAGGTGTGTCATTCTTTGTGCTTATAGTGCTCTGCTAATTTAATAGTTCAGCCTTTTTCTTTGAATGACCTCTAAGCTATAATTTGGTGATTTTAGCAGGTGATGAAGAATGGTTATATTGCAACAATAACTCTCTTCCAGTCATGATGATGGTACATTTCATATATTGTTTGTTCTCATGTAAATTTCAACTTTATATAAATTAAATAGGAAGTAATAGCCTTACTTATCTTTTCTTAAATCTTAACTATTTGTCCAATTATAAAAAACCAAGTTTATTTTTTACCAGCCAGTATTAGACCATTATGATCATATCCGGCTTCTGTCGTGCTAGACTTAAATTTATATATCAGATTTCTTCCATGTTACTCTGGATAGTTATCCCAATTTTTATCCCAGTTTAGTATAAAAGTTTCTCATAAAAACATATCTATTGTAGGGCAATAAGACTTGGAATCATATATGTGTTTATGCATTCCTGCAGGGGCTTTTGAAGTTTGGTTGATCATAATCTTTCTGCCTATCGATCCAAGGTGTGGTTGCAGAACTTCACAAGGCGTAGCAGGCTTTGTACGTTCATTGTGTAAAAAATATAAATAGTTCAACCATCACCATCATTATCATGTCAATGGGCTGTGGCAAATTTGTACAGCTATCTAACGAATTGTACATATAAATTATGTAATTAACTGATATTGTCTTGCACAAAGCAAATGCAATAAGTTCCCAGTGCTTTAACTTTAAGATGACTTCACTTTGTGAGATTCTTTTTTACTATCCTGCTAATGCAGTTAGACCATTTACAATGGTTGAAAAACTCAACACCCACTTTTTCAACTCCCAACACTCCACATCATTTTCTCTTTCTTCCACCTAATAACTCAACACTCATTCAACTTTTACCCTCTCCAATGGTTTTTCACTCAACACCCTACCCCACCACTTTTTATTTTCATATTCTTATTTAAATTTTATTTTTATTTTTATGATTACATAAAATTACAATTATCGATTAAAATTAAATTAAAATAATAAATACTTAATAATTTATTTTTTAATTTTTTGTAATAAAAACAAAATTTATTTAAATAATTAGATACGATACAAATCATCTTAAATTAATTTAAAATACAACACACAATTAACGTAATTAGTACGTTACAAATAATTTAAAATGCAATACAACACACAAGTAACGTAATTAGTACGATACAAATAATTTAAAATGCAATACAACACACAAATAATTCAATCACGGAACATTCCAAACTTTGTCCATATGTGCTTCACTAGATCGGCTTGCAATTCTTGATGAACATTTGGATCACGGAACTCTGATCTAGCACGCACATGATTTGCAAAAGCGGGTAACACCTCGGTCGAGTATGGTTGTGGTGCACTAGATCCACTTTCCCCAGACTGCTCAAAATCGGTCCAACGTTGAGAATATGAATCTCGTTCATCCTCAACAATCATATTATGTAATATGATGCATGACCTCATGATGATACCCAAATCAGCTATGTCCCACAAGCGAGCTGGTTCACGGATGATTTTAAATCGAGCTTGGAGCACTCCAAATGCACGTTCGATGTCCTTCCGACATCCCTCCTGAAATTTTGCAAATAATTTATCGGGTTCACTTTGAGGAAGTCTAATCGATTTGACGAAAGTTGGATAAGAAGGGTAGATACCATCAGCTAGATAGTATGCCATATTATATGGACGTTGATTCACAAAGAAATTCACACTTGGAGCCTTTCCCTGTTCCACGTCATCAAACACTGGTGACCGGTCTAGAACGTTTATATCGTTCAACGTTCCCGGACATCCAAAAAAGGCATGCCAGATCCATAGGTCATGAGATGCAACTGCTTCAAGAATAACTGTGGTGGTTCCCTTATCCCCTCTAGTAAATTGTCCTTCCCATGCTTTAGGACAATTTTTCCACTTCCAGTGCATGCAGTCAATACTCCCAATCATCCCTGGGAACCCCCGCATTTCACTAACATGTAGTATTCTTTGCAGGTCATCTTGGGTTGGTGCTCTCAGATACACTTGCTCGTACAAGCGTATGATTCCTTTACAGAATCGACGTAAGCACTCCAATGCTGTAGTACCTCCTATTTTGATGTACTCATCGACCGCATCTGCTGCCACACCATATGCTAACATTCGCATTGCTGTGGTACATTTTGCTAAGGGTGATATACCTTCTTTATTGGCTGCATCAACTCGCTGGGTGAAGTAGTTATCACTACTTGAAAGGTCCCCAACGATTCGAAGGAAAACATTTTTTTTCATCCGGTACCGACGACGAAACATTGCATCGTCATATGTAGGCTCATTGGCAAAGTAGTCGTCAATTAGTCTTTGGTTTGCCGCTGCATGATCTCTATTGAGATATTTTATACTACGAGGTGCATTATCTTCCGATATTTTGTTTCTACGCTCTCTAAATCGATTGACTATATAATTTTCTTCAATTTCACGATTTTGATTGTAGGCTGCGATATCAAAATGATATTGTGATGGATCCATTTTTTTGTGATATTGGAGGTAGATTGGATGGGATTTGGGATATTGGTACATAAATGGATGTATGAGTCCCTATATATAAATGGATGTGGGTGGTGGACCACTGACGGATTCGAAATAATTTATTGTATATAGTTAATTATCAGATAAGGAATAGATTCGAATTGGGTGGTAGACCACTGACGGATTCGAAATAATTTATTGTATATAGTTAATTATCAGATAAGGAATAGATTCGAATTGGGTGGTGGACCATTGACGGATTCGAAATAATTTATTGTATATAGTTAATTATCAGATAAGGAATAGATTCGAATTGGGTGGTGGACCACTGACGGATTCGAAATAATTTATTGTATATAGTTAATTATCAGATAAGGAATAGATTCGAATTGGGTGGTGGACCACTGACGGATTCGAAATAATTTATTGTATAGAGTTAATTATCAGATAAGGAATAGATTCGAATTGGATGGTGGACCACTGACGGATTCGAAATAATTTATTGTATAGAGTTAATTATCAGATAAGGAATAATTAAAGCAAACACTACACTGGCATATTGAAACAACAATAATTAAAGCAAACACTACACTGGCATATTGAAACAACAATAATTAAAGCAAACACTACACTGGCATATTGAAACAACAATAATTAAAGCAAACACTACACTGGCATATTGAAACAACAATAATTAAAGCAAACACAACACTGACAAATACTTCATTGAAATTAATTATCAAACAGTTCTGCCTCCAACTTTTTCAACAGCTGGTTCTTCCGGTCATCTAGATGCTCTTCGGAAGTTAGCTTTAGATACATCTTCATTTTCTTGGTTTTAGTCTTCTCCAAGGCTATATTGTTAGCCTGCTGTTGCATCAACGCTATGTTGTCCAATCGTTCAAGCTCTTTCGTCTTGAATTCTTTGTATTCAGCCCATTCTTTGTCCACCACCTCCGAGGCATATTCCTTGCTTTTCTTTTTACCCTTTTTTTTAGCTGCCTCCCTTCCTATAGGACGAGCACTGGATTCTACAGTGTTTGAGCCACATGCATCACTCTCGCGAGATCTCTTAGATCCACTACTTCCTGAGCCAATATTTCCTCCTACTTGACTACCATAACGTGGTTGATCACGGAGAGCGTGCCATTCTTCCATTAAAGTGAATTTAACATTCTTCCCACATGCATATAATTCCTGCGCTTTTGCCAAAACATCATTCTCCGACCAACCACTTCCTTGCATACGCTTAGCGCCATCATAAGCGCCAATCCATTTACCCAACACTTTGTTCATATAATTAAAACGGTTTTGGCATGCAGGTACATCACGCGGAGGATCGAATGAGCAATGCTCATTACAATACTCAGCAATTTTACCCCAATATGTTTCACCTTTCTGGTTTCTCCCGACAACACTGCTTGTTCCAAATTTAATCCACCCACTAATTAGAACCAAATTTTCTTCAGTGTTCCATGCTGGTTGCTGAGTTTTCCTGCTCTTAGGAGTTGAATCCTCTGAATTCGGACCGACTTCATTAGAAACAATCATGCCACCAATAGTTAGTTGTGTTGAAAACTCGGGAAATTCAGGTACACCACCACTTGGAAAATTTGCATTCGCCATTGTCACATAACCATTAAACGGGGGTGTTTGAGATGGATTTCTCGGCATAGATCCATAATATGTTTGAAAGTTTGGAACAGAGGATGTCTGGTTGAAATTTGGTGGAAAACCAAAATTAGGTATGTTTTGAGGATGTTGGTTGGAAAATTGATTTGGATTTTGATAATAGTTGGGATTTTGATAATTGTTGGGATTTGGAAAATTGTTGGGATTTTGGTTAAATGGAAAATTAGCAGAATTTTGAGTGTTAAAATGATTATTGGGATCCATTTCACTAAAAAAAGACACTTAACTTCAAAATAAACACTAATAATAAAATTAAGATAGTGAAAAACTTAGTTTTTTTTTCTGTGTCCAAATCAAATGAACCAAGTCTCTATTTATAGAGAAAAAAAAATCATGAATTTTGGTAAAAAAAAAAAAAAAAATTAATTTGCAACGAAATAATTGAGTTCAAAGTATTAAATGGATAAAAATCTGGTCAGCCAATCAAGCACAGCCACGTGGCTGCACTTATCCCTTTTCTCTTTCTCTCTCCGCGTGGATTAAGACCCACTCTCACCCCCAGCGAGTGGGCTACACACGCCTGGCCCAGACCAATGAGGCGCTGCCACGTCATGCCCTTGGTCAGCTTCAATTGTGTTGAGTTTTCTCAACACCTCTCTCTTCCAACACACACTCAACACCTCTCTCAACACCCATTGGAGGAGATTTTGCATGTTGAGTTCAAACTCAACATACCCATTGCACATGGTCTTACTGGACTTACAGGTGTCTCAGTGCAACTAAAATGGAAAATCCGACATATTTAATGCCTAGTTAGAATGTTTACTGGCCAGCTTTTTAATCATTTTTCAGAAGATAAAAAAATGTTTCACAAAATAAACAAATATTAAATTTTGTTTTTTTCTTTTCTTCTTGTAAGTTATGAAAACCTAACCACGCAAACTGAATCAACCCTAATGTGATTGAGTTGGTTC